TAATGAGAGTTTGCAGTATTTTCTATTTTTGGTGCATTACTCAGCCAAAGATGCCAGCTTTAAATTTGAGAGGTCAACCAGTTCGGGCAGATGCAACAGATTGTATGGCATCATTTAAAAATAGTCAAGGAAATTTCCCAATGCTCTGGTCAACATTAATCCCTCAATCAACAGCACTAACACATCATCTGTTCACACACCTCATTGCCATTTGAGGGACCATGACATTTGTAAATTGGTTGCTGTGAAGGACTTCATTAGAGTGGTTACATAGTAGCGTAGAAATAGGAGTTAATTCATCCTCTAGAGAATGTTCCAAAATTTGATTATATCATAGGCAAAGTGTACATCAATTTAATTGACTCAATCTTTCTCTGTATCTCTCATTCCCCTTACTAATAAAGAAATCGAAGCTTCAAAATATATAATTGAGTCAGCATGCCTAGCCTTCTTTGAGAGTGTTCTAGGTATCTACTGTTCTTTTTTGATATGAAGAGAATGATCCTTAATCTGATATCCTAAGACTGTGTGAAGTGTAGCATAAATGCAGGTTTGGTCTACTTTTTCCAGTGTGTAGACTTTAGCATTTTTATGCCTCCATATCACTTTTTCTTTTTACACACAGGATACATTTTATGATGATCACAGTCTTTCCCCTTGCTAAATGTATTGCAATGGTTCAATGCATATTTTAAGAATATTTTCTTATCCTTGACATAAAATATTCAAAAATGTTTTACAAATGTTTATTAGTGAACACAAAAATTTGTGGAAACCAGGTTTTTCATTGTAATGAGACTGTATGCGTAAAAGTTTATGAGTTAATAAATACTATTATCAACATAATAAAAACTGAAGATTACAAAATAAAAATATAGCATTGCTGTGTCATGAAAACAGTTTTATAAGACAATGAGACCGTTAGAGATAGGAACAGGAGGAGGCCATTTAGCCCCTCAAGTCTGCTCCAAAATTCAATAAGATCATGGCTGATCCAACACTGCTCAGATCCACTTTCCTGACTTTTTCCCAGCCCCCTTGATTCCCCTACTGACCAAGAATGTATCTCAGCCTTAAACATACACAAGGACTCTGTCCCCACAGCTTTCTGTGGCAAGGAGTTTTCTCAATCCTCCAAAGAAATTCCTTCTCATCTCAGTCTTAAATTGGCATCCCTTAATTTTATTTAAAGATGTACCAATTGCAGAGTACTCCCCAAAGATCAAGGATCTTCAGGGATTTTAGTGCTGATTACTTGGACAGTATTACACTTCTGGTGGTACACATTATCCACCAAAACTAGATGCTCTCCAACACAGCCGCACAGACTCAACAAACCAGATGGCTTCCCTTCTGCACAGTACTGTTCAAATAACTTTATGATGCTTAATTATTTAATATCAGCTCTGTCAATATAGGAACAGCATCAGGTTTTAAGTACACATATCACACAGCAACAAATAGATTTCTAGGAAGATTCCTCAGCATTTGAATCTTCTAGGTTTCCAGTGTAAATGCAAGTTGCAATTAAGGTTGTGCTCTTATCCTTATGGCTAGTGCCAACACAGCACTGCCAAAAGCCACATGCAAACCTTTTACCATGTATTGGATGCAGTCATGAACCCAGGAAAAGCAGAGTTAATAGACTCAGTTAAAAGTAATATCATATTTACATAACAAAATGTACGACTGAGTGCAATATTGTTTCTGAACATTAATATTTATTTAGTTAATTTACTGTTGTCTTTTGTCAATCACAATTCATAGTCAAAATGCTAACAAGTGCACTAAGGTGAAGAAGTTGCACTAGATGGAGCCATGTTTGAAGAGGTATTAATTAAAGTGGCAAACGTTTAATCGTACATTATATTCTGCTGTGGCTTATTCAAGATCAAGGTGAAACAAGAATGAAAGATTTGCATTCAGATAGCACCCTTCACAACTCCAATACACCCCAAAAGTAGTTAACACGATAATCTGGACAGGGAATGCTGTAGTATTGCCTTTGAAGAGCATTGTTCAGAGCACCTATTCAGGTGAATGCAATTGATAAAACCTGGTACAATTTGAAGAATAATGAGGTGATTTCCTGGCAGTCTAGCCAAAATTCCACCTTCAGTGATCATCACCAATATTGATAAAGGCACCGTATCCAGTCCTTGTTGCTTGCAAAGGGCAGGAACTGGTTGCTGTGCTCACCTATATTAATACTTAAAATGTAACCAACTGGCTGTGAAGTACTTGATGTCAACCTAAGGAATGGGTTTCTGTAGATGCATGCTAACTTGTGTTTTTAGAAAAGAAACGTTACTGAAATGATGTCAAAATTCAATTAGTTGCTCCCGAAAATTTGTAAAATTTAAAAAAAAAATCTTGACTAGTAAATAAGCTTGCATCATATGTATTTTCCTTAATTCCTTCGGAGAGAAATTTAAGTTGAAGTAAAACGGCGCTGGCTGCATGGTTCAGAAATTTGAAGCCTCGATCAGACAGACAATCCGTCATGTGCACCGGCCAACCTTATTTACAAAATGTCCCCTTTCCTTTTCCCGCAGTTTCTCGGACTTTAATAAAATTGATTTATTTTGGAAAAAAAAGCGCCGATATTTTCAACCATAGAGTCGATCCATAACCTTTCTATAAACCGTGATTTCCGTTTGATGAAAATAACATGCCAAAGACATCTTTGTCGATTTCCACCGTCGAGAATCTCCGGCCATTTACAACGAAGACCTGACTGAGCCAGGCTAACACGTTGCGGTCGCCCATCAGCAATCTCAACCCAGAATGAAATCCGAGCAACGCGATACGCTTATAATAGAGGGCTTCACACCTCCTGTGCATTTTATAAAACTGACAATTTTTTTTGCGGGGTAGGGGAAGGGGGGTAAAGAACGTTACAAAAAATTGACACTGTCCGCCTATACTATCAAAGCATTACAAATTGACCGGATTGCGAAACATGTTTCCACACACGCGGTGAATCCTTCGATAAACTGGCAACATGCACCGCGCTCTATAACGAGGTACACTGCTGCAGTTTCTGTGTCTTGCGACTGGGACGTATTGATGTGATATAACTGCAGCTTTGAAGTTAACAAGCCGCTTGAGCCTCAGCGGTCAGCACCGAACCACAATTTTCATTCAGTGGCATCAAGCCAACCAAGTCCAGTTATCCTGCATCCACCACTAAGTCGCTCCTGACTCCCCGAATTGTTTTTCAATGAACTCATCCTGGGGCAGCCAGACTCTAACATTGACTAATGTAGAGAACTTCACAATCACACTTTTGGGGGCGGATGCGGAGATTGATGTACTTCTCTTATGGCAGACGTGATTCTAAATTAAGTCCCCATCCCTAGTAAAGAAGCAAACAGGGAAGGTGCTGGGGTGGGGGTGTCAGTCCAATCATCCGTTCCTATCCCTTGCGAGCTCCTCTGCTAAGATTAGTTTACAAAACGTAGCAAACCTCACAAAAGGTGGCAGCCTGTCAAAGGAAAATGATTTGTGCGCGTCGGGTGTCCCAATTATTATTTTTTAGCCAATAGATAACCGGCAGCTTATTGATCAGTTGTCTTTTTTAAACATCCTCCCACCCACCCAGAAAGAGAGAAAAATAATCTACAATTAGTCCCATGAGCGTGTAATGTTTGAAAAGTAGCTGCGGTTACATTTCATTTTGCTGAGGATATTGACAAATTCAGAAGGAAGTTGCAGGAAGGCAATTCACTGATTCACCCTGAACCTACGTGTGACTCACTGAAAAGGAAGTCATGTGATCAGACCAGAGAATGTGATTGAGAACAGTGTTGCTTGCTTTTTTTTTTAAAAAAGACCTTTCTGCGAAAGAAACAAAAGCCTGGTATTAGCTGTCCACAGCCATTCAAGGGTGGGTCTGAATGCCAAATAAAAAAAAGAAGCAGTAATGGGCTGAGGTTAATCTTGATGGGGGCCCACTTTAACCTCCTGAATACATCAAAAATGCGAAAATTGGATTTGTTTTGCCCCAGGATCATTGCACTGCTACCTACATTTGCCGCACAGATTGTATTTTGAAGCCGAATTCCAACAAGAATAATTCTAGTGTGGCATTTCTTTACTTTCGAGAATTCGATACAACGGCTCTTTCATAATGCAAAGCGCTTCGCTTTAACGGTCAACTCTTGCTTAACTGTAACCTCTGCTTTAAGGGATCTGCCCCACCCCTCCCCCACCCTGAACTATATTCTACTGCGAGCTTCTTAAATAAATAGGAGTATCGGGTGACCGGGGTAATGGGTGGTCTTATGGGCTCCGGCCAAAGCTGCACTATGTTTGGACCAAGGAGATAAGAACAAAGTGTTGGCTGGCATGTGGATCGTGATCAGAGATACACCAGGCAAGTGGGGGAAGGGGACAAATGATTGGATTTAGAAGAAAATCCATAATTAACCGAAGCAATTAACTATGTACATTGCAATAAAAAAAACACACGTTGGAAGTACACAACATTCAAACACACACATTGAAGTATCACCTTTTCTCTTCACAAAACTAAATTTTGATCATTTTCTATTTTCTTTCACATGCAGTTTTTGTTCTATTAAATTTCATCCAATGATCTGCAAAACCAATTTGTAAGCAATTCAGAAACACGATGTATATTGTATCCTTAGTAAACTTCATGAAGCCAAAGTGTAGCTAATGTACTTAATAATTTTGGTCTCATCTCCTTACCCCATCAGTTGAGAATTATGGGTCAACGGTCTATATTAGTAATTCATAGACAGGCAGTTAACTAAGTAGCAAAGGTCGAGTAGCATTGAGGTTTGTAAATGTAGCATACTGAGACTATTAATAGGCAAATAAGAGAAATAAACCAGCCATTTGTGATCTAGCAAGGTGCAGATTTTACAGTAAAATCAACACAGGTACCAAATTCAACACTGAAAGTCTTGGAAAATCTCAAATTCCTATATAATAGAAGCAGAATGACTTATTCAGTCACCTTAAAATAGTGACTCTGGCAATGATTTTCCCTGGCCTCCAGTTCCTTCGTTTGATGAAGGCGGCTTGCAACCTGATCTGGAGGGTGCAAAATGCTTCTTCGTTCAGAATTCCTTGAGTAGAAGAGCGAAGAGGAAATAATTAAAGGGGTGGTCATGAAACCAAACCAACAATAGTTCATAACCTTATGCTTAAGCTTGTTCTTTAAATAAAATAGATCTTGGAGCTAAAGACTACATTTACTTGTTATGCACAACTGTGCATCTCAATTTAATCTTAATTATTAACTAAAGAGTTTAAGTAATTGTAAGAGGGGTTCTGCAGTGAGAAAACAGCTTTTAAATTTGGTTGCTGGTAGAATAGCACTTTTTTTTTCCAGACCTTTTGTAATAGAGGGAATATTTAATCTTACAAATGAAGTATTGTGGCAAAAACATTTATGAAACTAAAGATATAAATTTGCATTTTTATAAACAAAAAATACATTCACATCTTAAATGACTTCACTTAAATATGTATAGGGAAATACTGAGTTTTATTCAGAATACTCTTCCAAATTTGATTTGTACATTATTTCGACAATCAGGAAAAGAAAAACAGGAGTAGACCTCCCTCGAGTCTATCCACTATTCAACAAAACTATGAATGATCCATTTCTTAATTTTGTTCCAGTCTTTGATATTTTCTCTATTAGATTTAATCCTTTTATCATTTGAAGCACAACACTCCAGTCATTGTTGAATTAATAATTCTCTACTATGTCAGGAATTCAAAACCGAAATTAAATAGAAGAAATAAACTAGCAGAACCTTTTGGAATGCACAACAAAATATATGATCTTAAGAGTCATTCTATCCAAGTCCATTTCCATTCATTGCTTAATCCACAACTATCTACTGTGCTCCCTAACTCAAAGATGCTGAACTTAGATTTGATAGATCCATGTTATATAATAAACCTTTTACATTCAAAGTTACCTCGGAAGCAGCTGGTTTGATTTTTAACCTTATATTTATGATATATAACACTAAAAGTAAGTTAATTTATCAACCAGTTATGGGTTCACAATGATGCTTATCCATAAAAATCTTCTACTGATATATAAAGGATACAGATATTAAGCCCCAGCAGACACAAATGACCGGTTTTACTTCCAATACTTAAATGACAAAACACAGAATATGTACCATTTTTACCTGCCCTAATGCCTCATTCTAGAGGCTGGTTTCTTAGTAACAATAATGGAAAGCTGGGAAGCAGGTTTCTTGCCTGCCTCGCTTGACTAGGCAAGTTACATGGTTCAAGAAAACAAAAGGGATAGCAGAAAAAAAATCTAAGAAAGAAAGCTTTCCTCAAAAACACAATTTGAAAAGCTAAGAAATAAAAACAGAATACACATGTTCAATAAATGTTCATTAGCCATTTCTAAGTTTTAAAATAGTGATTAAGAAAACAAAAAGCCTTTGATTAAAAATTTGTCTGTCAAAATTAATTAAACATGCAATGTACAGCAAAGTCCACTTCTAACATGTATATGCAAAAGACAAAACTATACATTGTTAGAATCTTGATTACTAATGGAAAGCATCTTTCACCTCCACAATAAATTTTGCATTTAGAAAGGTGCATTAACAAAGCTCTTTTTCCCTACAAACAATTATTGCCAAATTTGTAACTTTCCATTTCCCAATATATTTAGTTAGAGGTAAGCTAGGAAGGAATACAAATAAAACACATTTAGTTGTCTTCTAAAACCAACAATACAGAACAAAAGAAACACAACTGGATCTTTTTGTTCCTATCTGGAGACAAAAATATCAGATGAACAAAATGACTCTCAAAATCACGACACTTTTATAATTATTTTTAGTTTCAAACTTAAATCGATAACACACACAATAATGATCAACAGTTTTAATTTGTAATTCAGGACAAAAGATATACATTGCTAAATGTAACCACTTTTTTTTCTCCAGAATGACTGGCACTTACTTATCAATCTTTGATTTGAAGAATTTTCAAAATCTTATCTGAGGGACACTTTCAAAATAGTTCTCCAGGCTGTTACTTGGATCACAAAAACAACAACCTATATTTACATAAAGTCTTTTAATGTAATTAAACTTCCCAAAGGAGAATTATAAAGAAATCAAGACACACAACCACTTGAGGAGATATTAGGTTAGCTTACTAACAGCTTGGTCACAATTTTATTTTAAATTGCAATGGTTTTAAGTAGTGTCTCAAAGAAGCAAAGCCAGGTAGAGCTGCAGAGAGGTTTTGAAAGGGAATTCTAGAATTTTGGACCTAAGCAGTTAAAGGCACAACCAATGCTTAGAGATCTGAATTAAAACGAACACCAACATTTTAGGAGTGTTGCAAAACCTGAGGAGATTACTGAAATATGGTGGCAGCAGAGCGTAGAGATTTTAAAACAAGGATGAGAGTTTTCTTTTAAATTAGGTGTTCCTTAACATTAAACAACATTGAAAATTCAGTGCACATTTGCATGAGTAGTAAGATTAAGTACTTCTGCAACCAACAAAACAAAAGGTGCACATCAAAGCTTTACAAAACACTTTGACACTAAGTGCAAGTATTTCTTTCTAGCTAATAGAATATAAAGATCACAGATAACAGCAATTTCCCACATATCTTTGAGTGGAAATTAGAGTTGAAAATTATTCTAAAAAGCTCAAACTAAAGATGAAAGAGACCATCATCTGGACCTGATTTTATGTATATCATCAACACTTCATTATTTCTAATATAGCAGAGTTAATACATTATGGATAATGGAGACCAGTTTAGGTTAACCAAGTTACATAATGAAGTACAAGCTTTTGAAAGACTAGTCAGGTTTTTATGGAAGAAATTTTTCATGACTTTAATATTTACTTAACCAAGACTTTTAAAAGCTGCTGAGTTTTGTACTTTCTAAGTGAGAAAAATAACAGTTAGTATTTTGAACAGTATTGGATATGATAAATGATTCGGCATCAGTTTCTTCATTTCACTTTCCACACTCCTTTTTTAAAAAAATTATTTTCTAAGTGTGAGGTTATTGTGCTCTAAAATGCACCTTTTTTCTGATTGGTAATTGTGAGTATCATATTTCCCCATGTTGACTGAAATTCCCTTTATATTCAATCATGAATATCTAAAATAGAAAAGAAATCATGAGGCATTATAACTGACAGGATCAGCTCAGCTGTGATGCTGCTTGTAGTTAATCTGCCCACTTACTCTCAAGTCTCACATTAGATATGGGAGGGTAAATGGTGCCTGTGTAATAAAAGAGCAGTAAATCAGTCATTGCTATCGAGACAAGGTCGAGAGAGGGTGGAGGGAGGGGGAGAAGTATTAGCAAAAAGGATTTTAAAGGAAAAAGCATTCAAAAAATTTAAAATCTTAAAACAGTTTTTAAGATCTACTGCAGCTGACATGTATTTGTCTCTCTATTAATAACAAACTCAAAAAAAAACTTACAATTATAGACAGCACCTTTGACAATCAATGTCCCGTTGCACTTTAAACCCACTTAGGTACAACATTGACTGCAATATAAAGCAATGTAGGATCCACAGGATTGACAATAATTGCACTAATTTTTATTCAGCAGAAACTTGGGCATCAATTCAAGAGCACAAGTGGGTCCCGAGCTCATCTTAAAGATTTAAGCAACAGCAGTACAGCACTCCTTTTGCACTGTACTGAAATGTCAGCCTGGATTTTTGTGGTCAGGCCTCTGACGAGGTCTACAGTTTCTTGTCAATGCTGTAGAACTAGCTTTTTATACCAATTCTTTTTGACCGGCAGATTTCCATAAATTTGTATAAAATCCATCAGAATATTTACAAAGGCCTTATATCAGATTATGATTTTTCAATTTCCACTCTTAAATGTAATCCCAAATATAACCTAGAAAGATGATATTTAACAGGACTGTACCATAAATGTTACAAAACCACTAATGTTAAAAGTGCTGTAAAATTTAAATTGTATATCATAGATTCCTAATGTAGGTATTTCAATTGTAGTTAATTTGCTACCATATACTGTCACCACTAGATGGAGTTTGATAAACTCCATTTCCCCATATTGACACCTGCAACATCACTGATGCAAGCACTTAATTAGTTTTATTATCATGACTTTCTATTAGATATGCATTCGCAATGGATGTTAATCTGGTAAATACACATCTGACAAAGGATACTGCAGAAGCTGATCTGCCTTCCACGTAAAATTGATTCACAATACCCTGTACAGCACGAGTACAGACTCCCTACAAACCCATCCCAGGTGGAAACTGGCTTTTAGATGAAAACTATTTGTAATTAACCTGTTTGTACATGTTATAACACACTGTCGTGGCCATCACATCTAAGTGGGATTTGAATCAAAGCTTTCTAGCCCAGAGGTCAGGAAATGGCTACAGTGCCACAAAAGCCTAGTGACTTTATCTGTGTATCCTAATCTTTCCCCAGTTAGTATCAGTTGCTGTGAATCATAACAGGAATATGTAGGTACACATACTGAATTGATACAGCATTTGTAACATTAAAGAATTGAAGTATTAGAGCACAGAAGGCAGCTATTTGACCCATCGTGTTTGTGCTGACTTTATTCAGGAATAACTCTTTTATTACCACTTGGCTGTCCTCTCCCACATCTGTCCTTTTCAGATATTTAGAATATTTAGAAAATGTAAAACAAAGGCACAGAAGTAGGCCACTCTGCCCATTGTGTCTATGCCAACTTGAAAACAAATCACTCAGTCATTTGCTGGCACTTGATCCTGGCCCTGGAGATTAAGGGACTTCAGGTGCATATCCGGAAACTTTTTAAGGGGTTAAGGGGTTCTGTCTCCACTACCCTTTCAGGCAGTGAATTCCAGACACTGACAGTGTTCTGGGTGAGAAAAGTCTTATCTCACTTTTCCTGTAATCCTTCCACTGATCACTTCACATCAATTTCTGATAGCCACTGACCCCTCTACTAAGGGTAGTAGGGGCTTCCTATCCAGTCTATTCAGGCTCCTCAAAACAATGATCAAATCATCCGCCAATCTCCTTTGTTCAAAGAAAAACAACAAACCCAGCCTATCTAA